TGGATCGTGGGTGTTGCCACGAACCCTTGAACTTTTCGGCCTGCCTAAACAAGGTATTGGTGATAGTGAGGTTGAGTGTAGCACACTTGCTGAGAAGGAGTAGGCTGTTGGGATTACAATTGCCTAGTCCATTTCTTCTATGGTTCCGTGCCAAATGTCAGCATCTCTGCCAACTCAGGCAGTGAAATCACCAAGGAGTACAACCGTATCTTCTCTGGGGATAGAGGTTAGCATTCTGTAGAGGTCGGCATAAAAGGCCGTCTTGATGTCATCCTCTGAATTCAGTGTTGGGGTGTATGCACTTATGAAAAAAGCATGACGTGAGTGATTCAGCAGGACTCGGAGCGTCATGAGGCGCTTGTTGATCCCAAAAGGTATTTCAGTTAGCCTATGTAGGATGTGTTAGCGTGATGGCAAAGCCAACTCCATAAATGCGGTTTCTCTCCGCAGCTGGCTTACCCTTCCAGAAGAAGGTATAGCCAGACACCCGTTCTGTGAGTTGACCCTCGTCTGGGAGCCGGGACTCACTGATGGCTGCTATGTCGATGTTATGCCTAGCCAGATCTTTTGCCACAAGGGCAGTTCCTTCAGGACGCTCATTTGTGCCTTTATCCAGAAGGGTTTGTTTTTGCTTAGATCTGTGATTTTGATTGTGTTTTCGACCGCATAAGGATGACCTTACTGGGTGCGGTTACCCAGTCACACACACACACACACACATACACACACACATACAGTCACAACCATACCCGGAGGCACACACAGAGCCACACCCACAGCCTTAGCCACACCCACAGCCTTAGCCACACCCACAGCCTTAGCCACACCCACAGCCTTAGCCACACCCACAGCCACAGCCTTAGCTACACCCACAGCCACACCCACACATCCAGACACACATCCAGACACACACCCACACCCAGAGCCACACCCACAGTGCCACTGGTGTCAACGTGACCTTTATATCGTCAGGCAAACTCCTGTGAATATTGTTCTGTCCTCTTTAATACTCTCTCTCTCTCTCTCTCTCTACATTAATAATAACCTGATCTAACCTATATTATGAAATCAAATTACTAGTCGTCTGTGGTCAGGTGGAGCTGGTCGGTGGTGGAGCTGGTCGTCAGGTGGTGGAGCTGGTCGTCAGTGGTGGAGCTGGTCGTCAGGTGGTGGAGTGGCGTCAGGTGGTGGAGCTGGTCCAGGGGTGGTGGTCGTTAGGTGGTGGAGCTGGCTCGTCAGGTGGTGGAGCTGGCTGTCAGGTGGTGGAGCTGGGTCGTCAAGTGGGTGGAGCTGGTCGTCAAGTGGTAGAGCTGGTCGTCAAGGGTAGAGAGCTGGCGTCAGGTGGGGAGCTGGTCGTCAGGTGGTGGAGCTGGTCGTCAGGTGGTGGAGCTGGTCGTCAGGTGGTGGAGCTGGTCGTCAGGTGGTGGAGCTGGTCGTCAGGTGGTGGAGCTGGCCGTCAGGTGGTGGAGCTGTCGTCAGGTGGTGGAGCTGGTCGTCAGGTGGTGGAGCTGGTCGTCAGGTGGTGGGAGCTGGGTCAGGTGGTGGAGCTGGTCGTCAGGTGGTGGAGCTGGCGTCAGGTGGTGGAGCTGGTCGTCAGGTGGTGGAGCTGGTCAGTGGGTGGGAGTCGTCAGGTGGTGGAGCTGGTCGTCAGGTGGAGCTGGTCGTCAGGTGGTAGAGAGCTGGTCAGGGTGGTGGAGCTGGTCGTCAAGTGGAAGATCAATATGTGTGTTAGGAAACTTTAGTCAAGGTGAGAAAGGACACTGGGCAGGTGTGTGAGGGGCAGGAGGTGAGGGCAGGTGGAGGGCAGTGTGTGTGAGGGGCAGGGTGTGGAGGGCAGGTGTGTGGAGGGCAGGTGTGTGAGGTGTGTGAGGGCAGGAGTGTGAGGGCTGGTGTGTGAGGGCTGGTGTGTGAGGGCAGGTGTGTGAGGGTAGGTGTGTGAGGGCAGGTGTGTGAGGGCAGGCGTGTGAGGGCTGGTGTGTGAGGGATGTTGTGTGAGGGCAGGTGTGTGAGGACAGTAGTAGCTGTAGTTGTGGTTGTATATGTAGCTGTAGTTGTAGTTTTAGCTGTAGTTATAGATGTAGCTTTAATCGTATTTGTTGCTGTAGCTGTATGTATTAGCCCCTGTCTCATAGAGTAGTACTTATATAATTATGGGTTAATACATTTGCGTTGTATAATTATATTACGCCTTGTAATTTTTCCTGAACTGTGAGGTGCATGTTCAGATCACGTGATGGTGTATTTTCCCCTAGTAAGTAGCATATTAAAGATGATTAGGTCAACCATAAGAAGCCAGCCCTCTCGCTCAGTTATCACTCAACACTCGCAAAGCATAGATGTGGACTCACAAGATTCCCAAATAAGCTTGCCGTCTATTCTTCCAGCCCTCACAGCTTCAGTGATATTACGGTGTTCTCCTTGTAGAAGTGTACATACTTTATTTTATTATAAATACATGGAGAAAATACCTTTTGGGTTTTGACAACTTAACCCACAAACTTGACAACTCCCCAAACTAGTTATATGTATCTGTAGCTGTTTTTGTAGATGTAGCCATTGTTGTAATTCTAGTTGTAGCTGTAGTTGTATGTGTAATTGTAGCTGTAGTTGTAGATGGAGCTGTATATGTAGTTTTAGATGTAGCTGTAGTTGTAGCTGTAGTCATAGCTGTAACCTGTTGCAGTTTTTGTAGCTGTAGTTATAGATCTAGCTTTTGTTGTAGTTTTAGATGTAGTTGTATGTATAGCTGTAGTTGTTGTAGTTGTATGTATAGCTGTAGTTGTTGTAGCTGTAGTTGTTTCTGTGGCTTTAGTTATAGCAAGTGATCGTGGGCCCATCGTGCTCGGTGGCGAGTCCGGTGGTACAGTTTACCGAGGTTGCTATAATCATGGTCGTGGTTGTTATAATCATGGTCGTGGTTGTTATAATCATGGTCGTGGGTGTTATAATCATGGTCGTGGTTGTTGTAATCATGGTCGTGGTTGTTATAATCATAGTCGTGGTTGTTATAATCATAGTCGTGGTTGTTATAATCATGGTCGGTGTTATAATCATAGTCGTGGTTGTTATAATCATGGTCGTTGTTATAATCAGTCGGTTGTTATAATCACAGTCGTGTTGTTGAGTCATAGTCGTGGTTGGTTTAATCATAGTCGGTTATATAATCATGGTCGTTATGTTCATAATCATAGTCGTGGTTGTTATAACCGTGGTTGCTATAATCATGGTCGTGGTTATAATCATGGTCGTGGTTGTTATAATCATAGTCGGTTGTTATTAATTATAGGTGGTTGTTATAATCATGGTCGTGGTTGTTATAATCATGGTCGTGGTTGTATAATCATTGTCGTAGTTATGATCACAATCGTGTTATAATCATAGTCGTGTTGTTATAATCATGGTCGTTATAATCATAGTCGTGGTTGTTTTTATATCCTTGGTCGGTTGTTACAATTATTGTGGTTGTTATAATCATGGTCGTGGTTGTTACAATCATAGTCGTGGTTGTTATAATCATGGTCGTGGTTATAATCATGGTCGTAGTTGTTATAATCATGGTCGTGGGTGTTATAATCATAGTCGCGGTTGTTATAATCATGGTCGTTGCTGTTATAATCATGGTCGTGGTTGTTATAATCATGGTCGTGGTTGTTATAATCATAGTCGTGGTTGTTGTATTCATGGTCGTGGTTGTTATGATCATGGTCGTGGTTGTTATAATCATGGTCGTGGTTGTTATAATCATGGTCGTGGTCGTGATACTTACAGTATCTAATATACTATAAGAAGGAATAGAATAATGGTTAGAATAAGTAATTCAAGAAATATTCGCCATAAGGAGAGGTTAAAATCATAAAAAAAATATTATGAATCACCGATGATCATTCCGAGATAAATTATATTATGAAGAGATGTGAACTTGATTCTGATTATATTAGTCACCATCTGCTTAAGTCATCACCTGTGTTAAGTCATCATAGTCATCATCTACGTTAGTCAGTTTTAGGCCTATCTTACATGACTGACCGACCATCGATGTTCTTTCTGCGCGAGGGTGTTAGTTTTCAATGTGTCTTATTATTTACGCTGGTGGATCTAAGACCTCCTACCCTCACTGACGCAGCTATGGTCAATTTGGTGTTATTCTTGTTCATAAATGCCTTCTAATCTGTCTCAAGTCTATCCGTCCTGTCTATTGCCATCTCAACTGTCTGTTCGTCGGCGTGGTGTTTGAATGTAAGCCCGTCTGTACTCTTTGTGTCGTCAAATCCGTCTGTCTTTTCCTGTGTTGGCGTGTGTCTGCCTGTTTGTCTAATGTGAACCAGTCAGTCAGCTGTCTGTCTGTCATGTTAGTTGCCATATTGTCTATTTGTGCATGTATGAATCTGTCTATTTTTGTCAACCTCCTGTCTGTTTCACTGTCTATATTCACCCTGTGTCTATTGTAGTCATCTTCTCCATGCATTCCTGTTATTATCTTTTTATCTCTTCTCCTTTTCCATGTACAGTCACCCACAGGAATAAGTATACACTGTAGCTGGAAGGTCGTCTGGTAACGTTGAAACTGCGCATCCAGACGCATGATGAAACTCAGCTACCCACCCCACCTGTTATCTCTAACTATTTTCTGTTTACCCTGCTTTATTCTTCTATTTACTCATCTTCCTTCCTTTACTAATCCAAACAACATTAAAAAAAATGTAGGCTAAGAAAAAAATGGGGGGAGGAGGAGGGTGCCGTACGATAACTGCATTCGCAATCGTGGGCTGACAGCGTACAGCGAATGAGGGTGCGCCAAGTCTGTAGACTTGTATCGTTTTCCAGCGTAAATAAAATTGTTAACTAATGCCTTCCTAAAGAAACCATTGACATGGGTCCAGGTTTGTTCCACTCTACGAATTTTTTGCGATTTTTCCACCAAGTTTGATGAAAAACAATTGTGCTGTTTCGGCTGCCCAGAACAGACACACACACACACACATGCCTAATCCTATAGTATATTAGATTGAAGCTGTAGTCTTAGTTGTAGTTGCAGCTGTAGCTGTTGTTGTAGCTGTAGTTTTAGATGTAGTATATGTTGTAGATTTGGTTGTAGCTGTAGTTGTAGCATTATCTGTAACTGTAGTTGTATCTAGTTGTAGCTGTAGCTATAGTTGTAGTTGTACGTGTAGCTGTAGCTGTAGCTGTTTTGGCGCTGTAGTTTTAGATGTAGCTGTAGTTATAGCTGTAGCTGTGCTTGTAGCTGTAGTTTTAGATGTATCTGTAGTTGTAGCTGTAGGGCGTGGATACTGAACAGGAAACATCGGGTAAGCATTAGTGGCACTGAATCCGTCTGGGGTAACGTCATTAGTGGAATACCCCAAGGCTCAACGCTTTGACCATTACTATTTATTATATACATAAACGACATAGATATAGGCGTAGACAGCAACATAAGTAAATTTGTTGTCGAAAATAAAATAGGGCGTGTAATTAAATCTGACGAAGACTGCAAAACTACTGGAAGATCTAAACAAATTTTTCGCATGGTTTGATAATAGCAGATGAAAATTAATGTAGACGGTTGTGTAGTACTTAGTCTCGGATATATAAACAGAGAAAACAGATGCTAGATGAACAACGATGTTATAGAGAAATCCGAAAGATTTACGAGTAATGATAAGTAGGAATCTTTAACCAAGACAACAATGTGTATTTGCTCGAACCAAGGCTAACAAAGTACTTGGGTTCATACAAAGGAGGGTTAATTACAAGACTAGCGAGGTTATCCTAAAACTATATCTTGCGCTTGTGAGACCTCACTTGGATTATGCATTTCAGTTGTGGTCACCGTACTTCAGAATGGATACTGTAACAATGTCATAAGTTTCCCGCCACTTGAAAGTTCCCGCCAATTTTAAGCCAATAGTATGAAGGCCTTAGGACTGTATTCGACCAATGAGAAAGCCTATGAGGCGTGACGTCATGAAAGTTTTGGTCCCTTGTGGGCCCACCCAGAGTCTGCGTTTGGTAAGAGTTAAGTGTGGTTGTGTCCTGGATGTCACCTCCTCATACGGCGGCTATAACGTGAGTACCTATTTAGGTTTGATCCGTTTCCCGAAATGTATTGTGAATAATGGACCCCTTGGTTAGGCAAGCTAGGAATTTCGGTTTATTGTTTTGAGGTGTAACTGTTCAATTTGAGTAACGTCGTTAATAAACGAAGAACCATTATGATTAGTTCTCAATTTCTTTGTGTTGACTAAAACATTGTCATGCATGTCTTTGGTATTATGCAGTAGTGCGGTGAGTCCTGTGCACGATAACTATCCTATATTTCCCCTCTGTGAAGTGTGTGTGTGTAGGAGGGCCAACTGTAAGCATAACCACAAACCGTTAGTCCTGTACTCCCCCTCCCGTCACACCCTCCTCACACGTAAACAATTACCTTCCTCTCCACTTCTCACAAGTATAAGTAAAAGAAAGAGTAAGAGAAAGAAGAATATATAAATAAATAAGTAAATAAACATAAAGAATAAAAAGGCAATAAAAAAGTAAGTTGTTACAAAATTTTACATTCAATATAGGGACATATAATCCTATATTTGTTACAATACGTCTTAATCTGCACCCCCTCGAGAGGCGTGGAGTGAGGGGCGATATAATAGAGGTGTATAAATGGAAGTCAGGGCTAAACAAAGGTGATATAACAAAGGTACTCAAACTACCCAAACAGGAGCGAACTCGTAGCAAAGGTTTTAAATTAGACAAATTTAGATTTAGGCGCGAGGTAGGTAACACTGGTTTGGAAATAGAGTAGTGGATGAATGGAACAAGTTATCAAACATCATCATTAACTCGAATACGCTGGATAGCTTCAAACATAGGTTGGGTGGATATATGAGCGATAGGGGTTGGGTGTAATTAGGACTGCCCAGTATGGGCCAGTAAGCCCGCTGCTGTTATGATGTTCTTATGTTCTTTACGTGTATCTGTACTTGTACTTGTAGATATAGCTGTAGCTCCAGTTGTATCTGAATAGTGGAACTTGTAGATATATCTGTAGCTGTAGTTGTAGCTACAGTTGTAGCTGTAGTTGTAGCTGTAGTTGTAACTGTAGCTGTAGTTATAACTGTAGCTGTAACTATAGATGTAGCTGTAGCTATATTTGTGGCTATAGATGTAGCTGTAGTCATAGCTATAGTTGTAGCTATAGTTGTAGTTGTACCTGTACTTGTAGCTGTACCTCTTGTTGTAGCTGTACCTGTAGTTTTAGCTGTCGTTGTAGCCGCATTTGTAGCAGTAGTTATAGTTATAGCTGTACTTGTAGTTGTAGTTGTATCTGTAGCTGTTGCTGTACTTGTAGTTGTTGCTGTAGTTTCAGCTGTAATTGTAACAGTATTTGTAGCTGTTGTTGTTGTATTTGTAACTAGAACTAGTCGTAACTATAGCTGTAGTTGTAGTTATACTTTTAGCTGTAGTTTTAGCTGTAGTTCTAACTGTACTTGTAGCTGTAGTTGTTTTTTATAAAATGGCTGTAGTTGTAGCTTTAGTTGTAGTTGTAACTATAGCTGTAGTTGTAGATGTACAATGTACATGTAGTTGTAGCTGTAACTGTACTTGTAGTTTTAGCTGAACTTTAGCTGTAATTGGAGCTGTAGCTGTAGTTGTAACTTCACTTGTAGTTGTGACTAGCTGTATTTATAGCGAGAGCTGTAGTTATTGTTAATATAGTTGTAGTTGTAGTTGTTAATATAGTTGTAGTTGTAGCTGTAATTGTAGTTGTTAATATAGTTGTAGCTGTAATTGTAGCTGTTAATATAGTTGTAGTTCTAACTGTAATTGTAGTTGTTAATATAGTTGTAGTTGTTAATATAGTTGTAGTTGTAGCTGTAATTGTAGTTGTTAATATAGTTGTAGTTGTAGCTGTAATTGTAGTTGTTAATATAGTTGTAGTTGTAGCTGTAATTGTAGTTGTTAATATAGTTGTAGTTGTAGCTGTAATTGTAGTTGTTAATATAGTTGTAGTTGTAGCTGTAATTGTAGTTGTTAATATAGTTGTAGTTGTAGCTGTAATTGTAGTTGTTAATATAGTTGTAGTTGTAGCTGTAATTGTAGTTGTAGTTGTAGCTGTAATTGTAGTTGTTAATATAGTTGTAGTTGTAGCTGTAGTTGTGGCGGTAGCTGTAGTTGTAGCGGTAGCTGTAATTGTAGTTGTGGTTTTAGCTGTAGTTGTAGCTGTAGTTACGATTGTAGTTGTAGCTTTGGTTGCAGCTGTACTTGAAGTTGCAGCTATAACTGTAATTGTAGCTCTAGATATAGTTGTAACTATAATTGTAGCTCTAGATATAGTTGTAGTTTTAGCTATAAATGTAGCTGTAGTTGTAGCTGTAGTTGTGGCTCTGATTGTAGCGTAGTTGTAGCTGTGTTTGTAGCTGTATATATAGTTATATTTGTAATTGTAGCTGTTGCTGTAGCCGTAGCTTTAGTTGTAGCTGTGTTTGTAGCTCTAGATATAGTTACAGGTGTAGCTGTAACTGTAATTGTAGCCCTAGATATAGTTGTAGTTGTAGATGAAGCTCGTCATAACAACTGGTGTGTGTTTATGGTTGTAATCTCTTCACTGTTGTAGTTGCATCTTGTTTTCTTTCCTTACAACTATCACTGACATAACAGGTCAACCTCACCTGTTCAGTGTGGCTATAATGTTGTGTGGAAAATTGTCAGTAAACGGACACGATATATAATATAATGGAAGCCGCTCGAAATCGAGGATGGCCGGCCCAAGGGCCACCTAGGTGTGTATTTGTTTAAGGTGTAGAAGCTGTCGCCAACACAACAACCACACCCCAAGTTAAAGAGCTGCAGTGTTAAGGAATAGTCCGAGAAGACCGGACAACTGCACTGGCTAACCATTACCCCGGAATACGATCTGCACATCGATTAACATCCAGATCCCCACTTAATGTCTGGTAGACAGGGAGGCAAATGGCGTAAAGAAACTTACCCATAGTTTCACCCTGCCCGAGTACCGAACTCGGGTCCGCTCGCTTGCCAGGTGAAGATGCTGACCATTACACCACGGACACGAATAACACAAAACACACACTACTGTGTGTCCCTCGTTCACGTTGTATTGACCGCTTCATCTTGTTCTTTATCTTTTAACACAGAGAGGAGAATAAAGGTTGAGACGATCACATCACTGTTAGACTTACATCACTGTCAGACTTACATCACTGTCAGACTTACATCACTGTTAGACTTACATCACTGTCAGACTTACATCACTGTTAGACTTACATCACTGTTAGACTTACATCACTGTCAGACTCACATCACTGTTAGACTTACATCACTGTTAGACTTACATCACTGTTAGACTTACATCACTGTCAGACTTGCATCACTGTCAGACTTACATCACTGTTAGACTTACATCAATGTCAGACTTACATCACTGTTAGACTTACATCACTGTTAGACTTACATCACTGTCAGACTTACATCACTGTTAGACTTACATCACTGTCAGACTTACATCACTGTTAGACTTACATCACTGTCAGACTTACATCACTGTCAGACTTACATCACTGTCAGACTTACATCACTGTTAGACTTACATCACTGTTAGACTTACATCACTGTCAGACTTACATCACTGTTAGACTTACATCACTGTCAGACTTGCATCACTGTCAGACTTACATCACTATTAGACTTGCATCACTATTAGACTTACATCACTGTTAGACTTACATCACTGTTAGACTTTACATCACTGTTAGACTTACCTCACTGTCAGACTTACCTCACTGTCAGACTTACATCACTGTTAGACTTACATCACTGTCAGACTTACATCACTGTTAGACTTACATCACTGTCCGACTTACATCACTGTCAGACTTACATCACTGTCAGACTTACATCACTATTAGACTTGCATCACTATTAGACTTACATCACTGTTAGACTTACATCACTGTTAGACTTACATCACTATTAGACTTACATCACTGTTAGACTTACATCACTGTTAGACTTTACATCACTGTTAGACTTACATCACTGTTAGACTTTACATCACTGTTAGACTTACCTCACTGTCAGACTTACATCACTGTTAGACTTACATCACTGTTAGACTTACATCACTATTAGACTTACATCACTGTTAGACTTGACTTACATCACTGTTAGACTTACATCACTGTTAGACTTCACCTTACATCACTAGTCAGACTTACATCACTATTAGACTTACATCACTGTTAGACTTACATCACTGTAGACTTACATCACTATTAGACTTACATCACACTTACATCATTAGTTAGACTTACATCACTGAATTACATCACTGTTAGACTTACATCACTATTAGACTTACATCACTGTCAGACTTACATCACTATTAGACTTAATCACTATTAGACTTACATCACTGTTAGACTTTACATCACTGTTAGACTTACATCACTTAGACTTACATCACTATTACAGTAGACTTACATCACTGTTAGACTTACATCACTGTTAGACTTTCATCACTATTAGTCTTACATCACTGTTAGACTTACATCACTGTTAGACTTACATCACTGTTAGACTTACATCACTGTTAGACTTACAACACTATTAGTCTTACATCACTGTTAGACTTACATCACTCTTAGACTTACATCACTGTTAGACTTACATCACTGTTAGTCTTTACATCACTGTTAGACTTACCTCACTGTCAGACTTACATCACTATTAGACTTACATCACTGTTAGACTTACATCACTGTTAGACTTACATCACTGTTAGACTTACATCACTGTTAGACTTACATCACTGTTAAACTTACATCACTGTTAGACTTACATCACTATTAGACTTACATCACTGTTAGACTTACATCACTATTAGACTTACATCACTGTTAGACTTACATCACTATTAGACTTACATCACTGTTAGACTTACATCACTGTTAGACTTACATCACTATTAGACTTACATCACTGTCAGACTTACATCACTATTAGACTTACATCACTGTTAGACTTACATCACTATTAGACTTACATCACTATTAGACTTACATCACTGTTAGACTTACATCAATATTAGACTTACATCACTGTTAGACTTACATCACTGTTAGACTTACATCACTATTAGACTTACATCACTGTTAGAATTACATCACTGTTAGACTTACATCACTATTAGACTTACATCACTGTCAGACTTACATCAATATTAGACTTAATCACTATTAGACTTACATCACTGTTAGACTTTACATCACTGTTAGACTTACATCACTGTTAGACTTACATCACTATTACAGTAGACTTACATCACTGTTAGACTTACATCACTGTTAGACTTTCATCACTATTAGTCTTACATCACTGTTAGACTTACATCACTGTTAGACTTACATCACTGTTAGACTTACATCACTGTTAGACTTACATCACTGTTAGACTTACATCACATCACTGTTCAGACTTAGACTTACATCACTGTTAGACTTACATCACTGTTAGACTTACATCACTTAGACTTACATCACTGTTAGACTTACATCACTGTTAGACTTACATCACTGTTAGACTTACATCACTGTTAGACTTACATCACTGTTAGACTTACATCACTGTTAGACTTACATCACTATTAGACTTACATCACTGTTAGACTTACATCACTGTTAGACTTACATCACACTATTAGACTTACATCACTGTTAGACTTACATCACTATTAGACTTACATCACTGTTAGACTTACATCACTGTTAGACTTACATCACTATTAGACTTACATCACTGTCAGACTTACATCACTATTAGACTTACATCACTGTTAGACTTACATCATTAGACTTACATCACTATTAGACTTACATCACTATTAGACTTACATCACTGTTAGACTTTCACTATTAGACTTACATCACTGTTAGACTTACATCACATCATCACTATTAGACTTACATCACTGTTAGTTAGACTAGACTTACATCACTGTTAGAGAGTCTTACATCACTGTTAGACTTACATCACTCTTAGACTTACATCACTGTTAGACTTACATCACTGTTAGTCTTTACATCACTGTTAGACTTACCTCACTGTCAGACTTACATCACTAGACTTACATCACTGTTAGACTTTACATCACTGTTAGACTTACATCACTGTTAGACTTACATCACTGTTAGACTTACATCACTGTTAAACTTACATCACTGTTAGACTTACATCACTATTAGACTTACATCACTGTTAGACTTACATCACTATTAGACTTACATCACTGTTAGACTTACATCACTATTAGACTTACATCACTGTTAGACTTACATCACTGTTAGACTTACATCACTATTAGACTTACATCACTGTCAGACTTACATCACTATTAGACTTACATCACTGTTAGACTTACATCACTGTTAGACTTACATCACTATTAGACTTACATCACTATTAGACTTACATCACTGTTAGACTTACATCAATATTAGACTTACATCACTGTTAGACTTACATCACTGTTAGACTTACATCACTATTAGACTTACATCACTGTTAGACTTACATCACTGTTAGACTTTACATCACTGTTAGACTTTCCTCACTGTCAGACTTACATCACTATTTGACTTACATCACTGTTAGACTTACATCACTATTAGACTTACATCACTATTAGACTTGCATCACTATTAGACTTACATCACTGTTAGACTTGCATCACTATTAGACTTGCATCACTGTTAGACCTACATCACTGTCAGACTTATATCACTGTTAGACTTACATCACTGTTAGACTTTACATCACTGTTAGACTTACCTCACTGTCAGACTTATCATCTACATCACTTAGACTTACATCATCTTACATCACTGTCAGACTTACATCACTGTTAGACTTACATCACTGTCAGACTTACATCACTATTAGACTTTCAAGACTTACATCATTGTTCAGACTTACATCACTGTCAGACTTACATCACTATTAGACTTACATCACTATTAGACTTACATCACTATTAGACTTACATCACTATTAGACTTACATCACTGTTAGACTTACATCACTGTTAGACTTACATCACTGTTAGACTTACATCACTGTTAAACTTACATCACTGTTAGACTTACATCACTATTAGACTTACATCACTATTAGACTTACATCACTGTTAGACTTACATCACTGTCAGACTTACATCACTGTTAGACTTACATCACTGTCAGACTTACATCACTGTTAGACTTACATCACTATTAGACTTACATCACTATTAGACTTACATCACTATTAGACTTACATCACTGTTAGACTTACATCACTATTAGACTTACATCACTATTAGACTTACATTACTATTAGACTTACATCACTATTAGACTTACAT